AAAAACATGCCGTGCGACAGCTCTTTCTTCATGGATTTTCATGAATATGCTTTCTATAGAATTGAAGTGGATAATTGACCACATTGACTGGAATGCCCTGGGGTGAACCTGTAGTGCGGAACACGACGAGGACTTTACACACCTGCCATGGCCAGCAGATTCGCCGGATTTAAATATAATTGAGCCACTTTTGTCGACGTTGTAAGCTCATATTCGAAGCATTTTTCCTCCTCCATCGTCGATGAAAACGCTTGAACATCTTCTGATTGAAGAATGAACAACATTCCACTAGAAACCATCCAAAAACTTTATGAATCAATTCCCAGACGAATCCAAGCTGTTATTGAAGCAAATGGTGGTCCAACATCATATTCGACGGTTCCATTATAACATTTTCCTACAATTTTAAATGGCATTCTTAATTTATAAATAATAATTCATTAATAATACATAGCTTTGCAAATAGCAAATAGCTAGATTAAAAGCGCAACTTTTCAAATAAGAATGGTTTATTCGCACTGTGACTATTGTTTATTTGAAATGCAGGAACATCTCTAGAGCTGACGTCGACAGTCATTTTGTTCATTAAAGAGTTGTTGTTGTGCTCTTGCTACACCTTACAATAATACAAGAGAGAGATACTTTTATTGGTCTACAACCAGAGTTTAAAGACCTAATCTTCCTATCCACTGCTAGTAGTCAATGGTCCATTTCAAGACTTCTGATAGTTCGAGCTGTCGAACGGCATTGTGAAGTGAAAATACAATTTTCCTCTTACATGTTATCCTGGGGCATTGTTTTGTGTAAAAATGTGATTGCATCCTACTACAGGTTCCCCCCAGGGCATTCCAGTGACTCCGGAAAGGTCAATATGGTCAATGATCCACTTCAATTCTATAGAAAGCATTTTCATGAAAATCCACGAAGGTAGAGCTGTCGCACGGCATGTTTTTGAGTAAAAACGCTATTGTCCCCTGCTACAGGTTCTCTCGGGGCATTCCAGTGGTTTCGAGAGCGGCCAATGTGGTAAATGATTCACTTTAAGTCCATAAAAAGAATATTAATGAAAATCTATGAAGAAAGAGATGTCGCATGGCATGTTTTTGAGTAAACACGCAATTGCCCCCTACTACAGGTTCCCCCCCGGGGTATCCCGTGATTTCGAGAGCTGCCAATGTAGTCACTGATCCATTTGAAGTTTAATGAATGCCTATTCATGAAAAACCATGAAGAATGAGCTGTCGCACGGCATGTTTTGGTGTAAAAATGCAATTGTCCCCTGCTCCAGGTTCCCCCGGGGGCATACTGGATGTTCCGAGAGTGGCCAATGTGGTAAATGATTCACTTTAAGTCTTTAGAAATAATATTCATGAAAATCCATGAAGAAAGAGCTGTCGCACGGCACGTTTTTGAGTTAAAAAGAAATTGTCCCCTGCTACAGGTCCCTCGGGGCATTCCAGTGGTTCCGAGAGCGGCCAATGTGGTCACTAATCCATTTAAAGTCTATCAAAAGCCTATTCGTGAAAAAGCTTGCAGAAAAGACTGTCGCATGGCATGTATTGGTGTAAAAACGCAATTGACCCCTGCTACAGGATCCCTCGGGGGTATCCCGTGATTCCAAGAGCGGCCAATGTGGTAAATGATTCATTTGAAGTTTATGGAAAGCTTATTCTTGAAAAACCATGAAGAATGAGGTGTCGCACGGCATGTTTTGGTGTAAAAATGCAATTGTCCCCTGCTCCAGGTTCCCCCGGGGGCATACTGGATGTTGCGAGAGTGGCCAATGTAGTCAATGATGCATTTAAAGTTTATCGAAAGTCTATTGACGAAAAAACATGAAGAAAGAGCTGTCGCACGGCATGTTTTGAGTGATTAAATGATCTGCCCGCATTCAGAACCCTTCACCAGGACCGATTCCAGGGAAATGGCCATATCTCGGTTGATTATCGGCCGATTTTAGTTCTTGGCATATGATTTGCTTAAGAAATGATTTTTTTTTTCCGTTGTATTTACTAAAAATATATATATATTTAACCAGCATCATATATAAAATTCCACCAAAAATTTAGCAAGTTAGACAAGCCCTCCTTAAACCCGGAATATCTCCGGTATCCGATGACCAGGATTATTTTCGAGGCTACAACGTAGAACAATATTAGTTTTCCAGTCAAATGCTTTGGCAGATTTAAAATCGGATCATATTTGACGAAGTTACAACACTCCAAAGTTGACCAAAAATTTGCCTATCCTAGTTATTTTGAGTAACCCCTGTAGTAGTAGATGTAGGTTAGTTGTAGTTGTAAATAGTAGTTATAAGTAGTCTCCTTTAGTGTAGTGGTAAGCGTGATTACCTCTCACCCCAGCAGGCCTGGGTTCAATCCCAGTCGGCGCCGCCGGGATGTTCTGAGGCATAACATCTCTGATCACGCCTTCCTTCGGATGGGAAAGCCGTTGGTCCCCGATTCATGAGTTGATGGGTCGATAGGTAGGGTCCAGGTGTGGGAGCTGCCTTCCTGGCACGTCGGTAGCATTGGTGCTCAGCACGGAAAACAAGATCGACGGAAAAAACAAACCAAATGAAAAAAAAAATAGTCTCCTTTTTCAAATTTAAAACAAACCAATCCCACCCAGGTGGTCATTCTCTAGAACAGGCCTGATAGGACTAGGAATTGTAATTAATAATTTAAATGTCAAATGTATTAAAGTTGAAAAGACGCATCTGTGTCACTTGAAAATTCATAATGTAAACCACACAAACACAAGAAATAAAGATCATTTAAAGTCCAGGCATTAGCTCATTTTCGCTTCGGACGGCGTGGTGAACAGCAATAGCAGCAGTAGGAAGGTGGTGGCTAGTCCACTCCTTCACACCTAACAAGCAATAATTGACTGGTCGTGGCAAAGGAGGCGCCAAGCGTCATCGCAAAGTTCTTCGAGATAACCGCCATCGGGCGTCTGGCTCGCCGTGGGGGTGTCAAACGTATCTCCGGTCTGATCTACGAGGTGTGCTGAAGGTGTTCCTGGAAAATGAGGTCCGTGATGCTGTGACGCCAAGCGTAAGTGGCCATGGATGTCCTCTTCGATAAAACGGCCCTTTTCAGGGCCATCAAGCTTACATCAGTAAAGAGTTGGAATAGAATTTATCTGTGCTTGTTTGTCCATATTCAGAACCACAAGCCCCCAACGACCACAACAAAATGCTCTCCAGAGTTGTAATCTAGTAACCAAACTTGGATGCAGGGGTGCAAGTGATTTTGATCGATTCTCTTAATCATCTTTCTCTTTGAAAAAAATTACTACAAATTTGGTACGCCTACAATTCAAAAACGGAAAGAGTTGAGATAATAGATAATTGATCAATTAAAAGAACTAAATGCTCTTCACATTTATTCCGGCCACTAGCGGTCCTACGTCAAGCTTCCGTTCATGCTCCTAGACACAGACCCTTCTACTCTTTTCAAGATTTCTTTCCTATACCTCAACGTGCAAAAATTTAAGACCATCATCATTTTTCTATTTCTCCTGTTCACCACGAGCGCTATCGTTAGATCACCAATACGAGTGCAATCTTAAAATGCTATTATTCTGCAAATGGTGCATTTTATTTAAATCTAGTTAATGTTACGATAGTAGAAAACTTAAGGACTACTCAATAGACATATAATATAGAAAAAATAATAATTTCTTTTCAGATTTTTATGTGTTGGCATAGATTTCAGCTTTTCTACCACTGTAGCAGCAACTAGATTTAAATAAAATGCTCCATTTGCAAAATAAAAGCATTTTAAGATTGAATTCGTATACCTCGCCGTGGAAAATTTTGAAACCATCATCACTTTCACAGTTTTCTTCTATTCTCCACGAGTGCGAACTTTTATTTGCCAAAAGGAAGAGGAAAATATTTTCACCTTTCTCTGATTAATTTATCACAGGTTCATGAAATCGTCATCAACGTGGAATATTTTGTTTTCTGTCCCAGCCAGGTCCACAACCATTTTTGTACAACCTTTTTCGCGAGCCAGTCCCAGCATTGGCTTTAACCGTCGATTTCTCACGAATAATAGCTCATTTATAAAAATTAATGAAACCAACAGCTAGATGAATATTTGTTCTACCAGCTAGCATTGTTAATTTGAAGGGGCACGCTTTTATTGGCGATAAATCGACGGCTAAAGCGCCAATGTTTACAAAAGCAATTACGCCCATTTAAAATGTTGGCACTGATTTTATGATTTTTTACTTGCTTCAAACTTCACTTCACTTTGAACTGTATAGTAGGCTTAAGGGGCTTTTCATTAACTACGTAGACAGTTGGGGGGGGGGGGGGAGGGTGGATTAGCGAGGAGATACTGTATTCTCTTTTTTAGACCAGCAAATGTTCTTTGGAAGTGATAAGAAATAATTTTTCGAAAATCGGCCTAATGACCCAGCATCAGATTGGAAGAGATAGGGAAAATGCCTCTAATGGCCCAAATTAGGGGCATTTAGGCCGACATTACATCCATTTCCCCTGCATATTATTTTTTAAATCACAATGCAACAATCCTTACGGGTTACATCCAATAGATTTCAAGGGACTTAGTGGCAGGAGCAGCATGTAGCCACTTTGATTAAATCAAGAAACAATTACCATATCCAGATTGAAAGACGGAATTTTTTGGACAATTGAGCTACGTACACCTTCACCGCTGGCAACCACTTAACAGGATTCCAAATTGCCAAAATTCTAAATATAGAACAACGCCGTCCCAAGTTGATTGCGTTCGACTCGCCGAGGCATGGCTGGCAACTAACGCACGTGGTCCAAAAACTTTCCCCAAACCCTGTGAGTGATTCGCGCACCCAAAGTGGATTACACACAACTTTGAAATCATGCAGTCCTTTGTTAACTGATTGCGTTACTTAATGCATACGATGATATCGACGACTGCTGCAGCAGCACTTCAGTGTGCGGTGTCGTCGTCGTCGTCGTCTAGAGATTTTCAAGGCTAGAGCAATGATCTGGGCTCAGTCGTAATTCAGCCGTCGCTCGAAGATGGACATCAATAGCTGGATCTCGTGAGTACACAATCCCCATTTGCCCCACTCGCATACCGATAGATGTTCTTAATGAAACTGTTTGTAAACTTGAAGCTTGTGTCTCGTTGTGCTTGCCGTTGCCCAAACGATCGCGAAAAACATCACCTGTTGGGAGCTGCCATGCCGTCAGAATCGATACCACTTCGACTGTTGCATCCGAAAGCTGGAGATTGACGATGGCACCATCATCGAGAGTGCCAACTTTGCCAAACAGCAGTACATCCTGCTGGAGGACAGCCACATCTACACCGTTTCTCCGCAGCTGTTCCAGCTAATGACCGATGCCAAGATGTTGGAAATCACCGGAGGTTTCGTACCGTGGGTCTACCTGAGACCGTCGATCACCATGCTCACGATAAGCGACAGTCAAACGAAGCAGATTTCCATCGATCCGGAGCAGAAAAAGTATCGTCTGATCTGGTTGGAAGTGCGGAATGTCACCATGAAGGAACTGCCCCCGAATCTGAACCAGCTGCGCGATCTGGAGCACATCGGGTTGGTGGATTCGGGGTTGGAATTTCTACTGATGGATCAATTCGACGGGTTGAACAAGCTTGAAGAGTTGAACCTGTCCGGCAACAACATCGCCCGGATCTACGTCAACTTCCCGATGAGACTGCCATCGTTGCGGTGCTTCCAGCTGAACGACAATCTACTGACCGCGGTCGACCTCAGCTATTGGCACATGCCCGAGCTGACGATGTTTGACCTTTCCTCGAATCAACTCAAGTACATGGCGCATTACAATAGCAATCAGTTTGAAAAGCTCTGCGCCATTAAGGCCGAGCGGAACAAGTGGAACTGCAAGTGGTTGGAGGAATTTTTGCACGCGTGCTTCCACTTTAGGGGATACGGGTTCAGCGAACGGCAGGTCCAGTGCGACGAGGACGTCGAATGGCGCGAAAATTGCTGCTACGGGAACGAAACCGATGCCGGCTATCAGGAGTATCTGAGGGAGATGCAGCTGATTTGAGAAGACAGTTACCAAAGCGTTTTGGGTCTTAAAATTTGTTAAAGTGTTCATTTTTGGCTCTAAAATAATCTAGACTTAGTTCAATAAACGTAATCCTAATGGTGTAATCGTCTATATCATTGTTTTGAAATCTGCCTTGACTTAAGATACCATTATTGGGAGACGGGATTTTTTTTTAAATCAGCCTGTTTAATGTTTCCATGGCCACGTTAAAGGTGACTATGGTGTTTGAGAAGTATTTTCACGTTTTCAAGGCTATTATGGACAGTCTAAGGTAGCATTTTAGTGGTTTAAAGCCATTTTTGCCTTCTGACTGATATCCCCAAAATCGCGATTTAGGGTTTATATAAGGCTATTTAAGGAATGCATTTAAAGATTTAGACCATTTAAACACCCCTGAAATCTCGATTAAGGATTTATTTAAAGTGAATCTCTAAGGTAGCCTTAATCTTGAAACTTCAAGAGCACACATGTCAGCTAGGCTTATTTAAAAAATGTCAACATATGAGTCTGTGCAAAAAAATATAAAGATTGATGAATTTTTGGAGGTCGTGCAAATGGTTTGGCATTTGTATGAGAATTACTATGGAAGGAATTTAAATATCGCTTCTAACTTTGGTAACTTTAGGTAGGGTAGAGCGTCCATTTCCGTTCTATCGAGCAGAAAACATCAGTATAATCAATTATTTGACCGTGCACAAATAAGTAATACGTTTGTACTGATGCGTTAGTTCACAAGCTACAACGCAAAGCCTATTAGAGCGTATTGGGTGAATATTTACACTCATTGTTCTCAAGCGCTCCTAACAAACTCACTTTTTCTACCTTCATCCGTAGGACGAAAAAAAATCCAATGGCGTTTCAATGCGTTTGGACGGAATTGAAACGCGTAGGACGAATTTGGAATCAAGAAGCAGTGTTAGATTTTTAACAATATCTCAACAATGTGTGGCTCTTTATCAAATTCAACTGTACTTATGGAAAGGGGAATAAATTTAGAAATAATTTTTGATAGAAACATTTCATTTATTGTTAAAACAAGTTCAAGAAAGAGAGGTAAAGCGTGGGTTGTGCTTAGTAAGACGGAAATTAGATCAAAAACCCTATACCTAGTTCTAAATACTTTAAAAAAATATATGTGGTTGCTATGACAACTTGGTCAACAAGCATGTTGTTGTTACGGTGCTTCTTCTTCTTCTTCTTTCTGCTTACAAGTGATTAAACTTGTCAAGTTCAGGGCCAGTTACTATGACTATATGCCCTACTGTTCTTGTCGTCGGTCGTCTGACCATAACTGAGGCTTATTACAAATCCAAAGCTGCTTCTTTCACAAATTTCCTTGCACATGTTCACGTTTTTCGTGTTGAACACATCAGCTAGTCGAGACCAAGCCAACAAGTTCGTCTACTGAACCGGTTGATAGCCGGACATGACTGGTCATAGTACTGGAAACACAAGATGAAACTAACGGACAGCCCAGACTGTGAAACATGTGGTGAATTAGAAACAGTTGAACACCTAATCCTACACTGCCTGTGGAGTGTAGTTTTTTTTGCAGAGGCTAATATTTTTGGGTTATGAATCAAACTTAGAGGGTGGCCTATAAGAAACATTTTTTTAATGGAGCATCCTAATGTCAGCTCGCAAAATATAGGAGTGCTGTCGGATGTGGAGAGGGGGTCTTCCAACCCACCCACTATGGCGAGTATTCAATCAGGCTCGATGATCGTCAGTTATTGCCTGATGTATCTGTGATTTCCAGTAAATTTACTGGTGGAGGAGTCCTTGTAGCTGTCGGTAGCGGGTTGGAGGCAATGGCCATCGAGAACGATTCATGGAACAATGTTGAGCAGGTACTCCCGAATCCTTCGAGGCTAAACGATGCGTCTTCGTTATCCCCGAATGGTCCATCTGCTCATCCGGAACACACCGTAGATGTTTCCACGATTTCCAAGAATAATGCTGCTACCTCTACTGCTTCTGGACCTCCACCATCGCACCGAGACGCATCGTGGATAGCACTGTGGAAGCCTCTGATTTCTCTGCCTCAGTCGCGCTTATTCCAGCCAGCGCTCTGCATAGTCGTCTCGGTCCTGAGTGTAGATGTATATCGGGGGTCTTCCAACCAGCTATTACTGGCAAGTATATTCAAGATTCAGCCTCTCCTTTGCCTGATACCGCTTCAACTTCTAGCTGTGTTTCCGGTTCTGCTACCTCCACACTAGCCACATCATGTCCATGCATCTGTCCTGCCAACTGCCAGCAGGTTTATGCCACCACCTGCTCTTCCTCGGATCCGGGACACCCTACACACTTAGAAAAAATCACCGACTTCGGTAATTCATTTACCGAATTCTCAACAGCTGAACGGTCGGTAATGTTTTCGGTAATCGAGAACATTACCGAAAAATCTGTAAACTGGATCAGCAAAATTAGGTGTCAAATTTACCGAACGATCGGTAACGTTTACCGATGTGCATTGCTTGATTTGTAGTCGACTTTACCGGAGAACTGTAATTTTGAGGACGATATGCAAATCGAAAATTACCGAGAGATCTGTAATTTTTTAAAAAGGTAACCTACTCAACTGTAATGTGCTTTAATATTGTTTCAAGGTGGCGGTCACTGCAACCCATGCAAAAATTTGGCTGCTGTCGTGATAAATAAGTTAGTGTTGCAAATTGCACCACCAATGAACAAAACCAAGTTTTTGTCGGAAGGATTCGGCGCTACACTGAAAACAAGGAAGCTTTGGAAGAATATTCCAAATGCTGTTTTCAGATCGTCGCCAACGGGAATGAAACTTGGACCGACAGAAAAAACAAGCAACAACATCGGCCATCTGTAATCGGTATTTATTTAGATAACGAAAATTAATTATTTACGGAAAATATCTACGATTCACTCATTTTGGTGTTGAATAACAGCCTCCATAATTTCACCTTTTTATTTTTGACAAGCAGGAACGCTTTTACAGTCGATCGAAAATAACAATATGGTTGATTTGACGTTTACCTAGACCATTACCGAACTCAAAACTTCAGTAAAATATTTCACCGAAGTCAGTGATGAAGCTGATTTACAGACCTGCCGGTAAAAATGTTTACCGTTTTCGGTAAATTAAAATAAAATTACCGAAATTCGGTCATTTGATTTACAGTTTTCAGCAATAAAGCGAGAAAATACCGAAACATCTGCAATTTTTAGCATTACTGATCTAAGACGGTACTTTACTTTACCGAACTCAGGGTCTCTGTTTAAGTGTGTAAAACAGGCACTGAGGAAGCTTCCGAACCTCCCGACCCAGTCGCGATTGCTGCAGACATCCGCCATCGTCCCGGTCCTGTGGTCGGTGATGGTATCGGATGCTTCCGGCCAGCAACCTCAGGCGAGTATGTTAGCGATTCCGAGCTTTCGATACCTGATGTCCTTTCGATTTCTAGTTCCATCGTCCTTTCGATGATTGCTCCTCGCGCGGTGGCGTAGTCCTGATTGCAGTATCTACGAGACTAGCCAGCTACGTAAGTACGTCACCCATTTCCAGTCAACTGGAACAGCTGTTGACCGTAACTATTTAGTTTAAGTTTTGTTCATTTCGACAATAATTGTCAGTTGAATTTTTCAATTTTTCAATAAACAATCTAATTTTCGGCCTAGTAAGCACAACTTGCACTGTGCTTTTTTTTTTGGAGCGGGTTTTTTTCATAAAGAATCACACATTTTTTATACTTTGTTAAAAAAACAACACTGCTTCTTGACTCCGAATTCGGCCTACGGGTTTCAATTTCGTACAAACACATCATTGATTTCACTCCACCACGAGCCACCATACGGATGAAGGCAGAAATGGAATCGCTTGGAGTTGACGATATTTAACTAGCAACCAAAAATATCCACACATTCTACGTGACGTTACAGCTGTTTTGGCCTGTTTTTGACAGTATTTGAGACGAACCAGCGTTCGGTTGAAACTATCCTTAATAAAGATAACTAACTAACTCACTGTTACTGAAATCAATGAAAAGTAGCCCCTTAAATATTATTGCAGATTTTGAAAGTGCGTTAAATTTTCTATAATAAATTATTAAGAGTTTCTTGTCTGTATGTGAGTCTGTGGACGTCTACCAATCTGCTGAATGCTTTCTCCGTCGATATATAGTATGGAAAATTACTTCTATTTTAGTTATTTTATTATTTTATAAAAGAAAAATCATCAAGATCTAACGTTTTTAAAATGAGAGGTTCGTCTAGGCTCTAGGCGATTCAGGCCTTGTTTATAAATATAAATGCATTCCAATACTTCGAACCTTAGAACACCCCTAAAATCTCGATATAGAGCTTATTGTTATTGTTATTGTTACTGCTCAGTTCACACCCTGGCAGGCTGCTGCCTACCGATCTGCACTTAAGCCAGACATGAACCTACGGAAATTTAGTCGTGGCCTATGCTAGACCGTATAGCAGACCGACTTTCCTTTCACTAGCAGGCTTTTTGGTCCCACTAGCGTCCGATTAGGGGATAGTAAGAGATTAAAAGAATAAAGAAGAGAAATAGAAGATATTGTTGCTTTGCTAAAAAAAAAAAAAAAAAAAAAAAAAAAAAAAAAAAAAAAAAAAAAAAAAAAAACCGGCTTGTTGGGCAACATCAGGTTTGTTCGCTTTCATTCCGTTCCAAGGGGCAACGTCCATCGTCGTCGTACTTAAATACCTGGGAACCTCCAGAGGTGCACAGGACCAACGTGAAAGACTTCCATTCTGGGCAGCTGCTTGACCTGGGCCCAGGTCAAATTCCTATCGGCTTGCTTAATTTCCTTGTTGACGCTCCGCCGCCTTAGTATTTGCCTTTGCTGCGATGTTCTGGTGGATTTAATTCATAATCAAACGCTTGCCTGCAGACTTCGTTTCTATTGCTATCGGCTTCTGCTGACATTTACATCTGAGATCCATTTGTGAGGCCACCAGCCACAAGTTATATACCGCAGGCAGCGGTTGATGAGACCTGCAGCTTTT